TGTTGTGTTTGGTCCCCTTAGGTCCTAATTCATCCTCCGTAAAGTATAAGTAATTGGTGGCTTATAATCTTCCCACTAAGTGCTCTATTAAATCGGAGGGGATGTCTTGTGGGATAATGCTTTGTTTAGCACCTTTTGAAATGCCTTTCGATAAGGCTCGAGAGATCAAGATCGGTGATAGGAGGGATATACGTGCAAGAGTTTTATTCAAATGATCCACTATACTTGTACTCATCGTGCTTCATTAATTTAAAAAATTCCATAGCCTTATCATCCTCAATCAACTTATTCATCTCAAAATTCATAGAGGGGTCACAACTCCCTTTTCTTTGGTAGCCTTTTTCTACATTCAATGGGGCATGTTCAACATCCTTCCCTTTCTCCATTCTCATATTGTTTTAGATTTAGAACTTTCTATACATGTAACTCCCTCAATATCTATTATCTCATTAGTAGAGAGCTTCATAACAACATGTGCCTTGTTAGTTGGTCCGTAATTATAAGGAATGGCTTAATAATAAGTCTTCACAAGGGTGGGCATTTTCAAAACCGAGTTTCATAGAACCCTTCTCGGTCGGCTCATATCTAAAAGGAACGAGTTATTAGCACTATTGTTAGTAGAGAGCATTTTTATTTTGATAATTTTTTTTTCTTTTCCACCCTCAAAATTCTCAATATTAGCATGGTTTGAACTAGTGGTGGAATTCGATGCAACCATCAATGTCGTGGCCCCTTGTCTTATGGAATTTGTAGTAATGTTCAAGATTAATAAGAGCTGATGAATTAGAGGATTTCATGTCAACACCTTTAGCATCTATCATGTTAAACGGCCTAGACATGGAAATTTTCGAGCACGATCCTTCTCTATCATACTCCATATCATCATATGACACCATGTTTATTCCTCCAAGTCTTAGTATGATTTGGTAACGAGTTTAAGTTCACACTTTGAGAACTTAGGGCATCTTCAAAACTAATCCACCCTTGGTCAATTAATTACTTGACCCTCTTTGTAAAATTGATACGATCTTTAATATTATGTCTAGTTGCACCACTATGGTACTTACAAGGCTCATTTGCCTTGTACCATCTCGGATATGGTGGTTGCATCGAAAGCACATGCATTGAAGCTAACTAACCAACGAGTATCCGGATGCTTAAATAGGTCCCTGGGGAGATGGGGAGAGGTGGCAAGATGTTTCCATATGATTCTTGCTTAGTATTCCTTTGATCGTCCTACTTAAATAGGGCTTGTTAGTTATTAAATTGTTTGAATGCCAATGGATTTCTAAGAATAGTCTACATCCGAGGTTGTTCTAGAACTAGAGATTGGGTTGTCAAACCGATAACAATAATAGGCATAGCATTCCTTGGTGTTATGAAATGAGGAACAAGACCGACCATGTTACCTCGGGGTATAAACTAACTTTCGACCTTCCATGGGGTTCCTAATGACTTATTCGTTGAAAGATTAGCGTTTTAACTTAGTTAATGACTACTTCTTTTCTCTTCCTAAAAATAATCCTCTTGGAGCTTGATTCGGTAGAATCGACACTTCCTGCTTTGATGACATGCTCGATACGGTTAATTACGGATACTTATCTCAAAAAAATTATTAGATCTATGACTTAGTAGATAGTCATAATAGGGCGGCTTGAGGGTATTTATATAGAGCATAACCAACTCTTTCTCTAACAATGGTGGTCGAATCCTTGAGGCCATTTCTCGTCACCTTTAAACATATTCTCTAACGGACTCTTTGGCATCCCTTTTCATTGACTACAAGCTAAATCAATCTAGAGTTATCTCTAGGTTGAACTTATACTACCTCATGAAAGCCTCAACCAAATCTCTCCACTTTTTTATCTTAGTTTGGTCTAAGTCCATAAACCAAATAAAAGTAGACCCCTTCAAACTTTCTAAAAAGAAATGGATTAATAAAGTCTCATCATATACTACTTCATCCATCTTGTTCAAGTATATCCTCAAGTAAGTCCTCGAGCATTGGTCGTTAGTATACTTAGGAAACTCGGTAGTCTAAATTTCTTCAAAATCACCACATTTGACATAAAACATTTATCCATTTTCAAGAGAGGGTCGTATACATCTACACCCACAATGGCATGAAGTCGTTCTTCAATGACAATGAATTTTTAGCTTCAAATTCAGTAAACACCTTCTCCTTCCATCGATCATCACCCATTCTATCAATGTACGATTGTGGTAGAGGAGTAGGAGCTTTCGAGAGGAGTGGCTCGGACATATCTCCTATCATTGATGCATGGGCCAAGTTGTCAATGGTCTAAGCTCGTTTGTTAAGAAGTAGGTGGAGGGATGACAAATGTAGTTTTAGGGACGACAACGGATGACTGGTTTACATTCGAGTTAAGAAGCGACACGAGACCAACCTATGCTTGAATGCTCTATTCGAATAGCATAGTGAGCCTTGCAACTTCTTCCTTCAATGTTGCTATCTTTTGCTAATAAGTTTGCTCTAGTTGAGCTCTTTCTCCGTTTTTTCATTTTTACTCTCATTCTAGTCTTACAAACTATTGGAGGAAGTGTGGTTTTACCAACAAGACCTATGTTTCTACATAGAAAAAAAAGCAACAAAATATAGCCCATGAATAACATATTAGTAATATAAAAGACATTCGAGACTAAATATGGAGTAGCCATCTAATGGGGGTGACGGAAGAACTCAATTATTGATTCTTTGATCCTCTTAAGTTTAAGGATGAATTTAAATTCATCAATAATTTTTAAGGATTCTAAAAAAGGGATTACCGTGACAAATGATGGCATTGATTGCTTGATCCTTTTAAGTTTAAAGATGAATTTAAATTCATCAATAACTTTTAAGGATTCTAAAGAAGGATTGCTTTGACAAATGATGGTATTCTATTTTGTTGGTTAGATTTGAATCACGACCATATCCGACACATTCCCCCTTTTATCATTTAGATTGCTAGAGTCGCTTTTGTTCTAGAAAATGAAAGTAGGTAACTTTAATGGTCTTTGTACTAGCAATGCCAATCTCGGACTTACTTCTCATTCAGAGCCAATAAATTATCTCAAATTTACTTGATGAAGATGAGATTCTTCATTGTGAATGAGTTGACACAAAAGAAAGATGCTTAAGCTTTCATTATCCGAGTATTCAAAATGAGGAGCATGAGGGCTCACATTAGTTTAGGATACATCATTCTTTTGCATAACAATAGGAAAAAAAACTCATACAATGAAAGATGAAATATAAGAAAAAGGAGCGAATTGCTCGATCATACTCCAAAGATCTTCCCTCTGCTAGCCATTTCAAACATCAAGTAGTCACACCTCCTTAGGTAGTGGGTCAATGTCTAAAGCATGGGGTAGCTTTATATGTTGGGTATTGGGCAAATGCCATTTTGGTCCTTGGCTTCCATCCATGCACTAATTTGAGCCTAATTTTGGTTTTTTGTTTTAATTCAAGCCTTCCATTACAAATAATTGGAACTTTTTATTTTAATTTGTTCTGATTATATCCCTCTTTGATTTAAACAAGGACTTCAAGCTTTGATTTTTTTTTTCAATTATGCCATTAACTGTCTTTTTAATTATTTTCAACTCTTTATTTTTTTCAATTAACCCCTCTCCATCTTTCTTTCTTTATTTTTTAATTAACCTAAACTAGTTATTCCAATTGATTTTTTTTTCCATTTTCCATTTTTTTCTTTTCATTTTCATTTTCAATTTTTGTATTTCCCAACAAAAAATAAAAATTGAAGAAAAATGTAATAAAGGCAAAATTTTAGGTGATAACAATAAGTAGTGGGGATATGAAATGCATATAAACATTCATATGAATATTTATTATTTCATAACAATATCTTAATTATAAATGGATTTGATTAAAACACAATAAGGATGCGAATGATACATAATTAAACTAGTTGACAACAATAAATGCTTGAATAGGTTAAGGGACTTTAAGGTTCATTGTGCCATTTGTTTTATCGGATCTTCACAAACAAATATACAATATTCATTTTCAATGAAAATTTACAATATTAGTTCTTTTTTTCTTTTTGTTTCTTTTTAACAAAAATAATCAATAAACAAATATACTAAAAATATTGGCATCTAAATGTTGTAGATAAAAACTTAAAGTCTTTTAGTTTCCTTCTCTTCATATCATTTAATTGGTTATAGGTGACATTGATTCTTAATAGATGGAAAAGAATGTATGGATGTGAATATCCATATTAACATTACAATGTAATGGATCCATCCATATTAGCGAGTTTATATGACTTCACATACACTACACTAAAAAAAGGCATTATAGATGGTTTTTTGGTCCTCTAGAGGTGGTTATAACTCGCCTCTATAGATTATAAAGGTGGTTTTAAGGACCACCTCAAAACCGCCCGCAACGTCGCGGTCTTTAGGGTGTAGAGGCGGTTTTGCCAACCGCCGAGAAAATCCGGGGAGGTTCCTTACGGCAGTTTCAACCACCTCAAAGAATTTGTAGAGGCGTTTCAAACCGCCTCTACAATGCCTCTTTCGATCGTTGTTTGGGTGTAATTTGAGGCGGTTCAAAACCGCTCTACAATTCCGCCAATTTTGAAATGTTTGAGGTGGTTGTAACCACCCCAAAGTTTAAAAATATAATGTCGTTTAGACCTTCACAAAATGTAAATTTAAAAAATAAATAAATTACTTCATTTAGAATTTATAGAAGCCTTCAAATTCAATTAATTACTTCATTTTTTGGTCAAAAAACAAATAAATTAAAAAACAAAGTTACATCATGTTAAATGCAAATAAAAGAAAAATTATATAGATTACACAATATTCTTAAAGTTGTAATTATCAAATTCTAAATACATAAAAAAATCTTCAAACATCCACAAGGAGGAAAAAAATAAAGGATTAAACACTTGTTCGAAATACATAAAAAAAAAATTCTCAATATGTTTTAAAATAAATGGCTAATGTTGACAGAATTTGCTTCAAGATTATGTCTCGAGTGCCTCAACAAGCATAGGGATTCCATTCACAAGTATAAACTTGTTTCGCTTTGGCCTTGCTCAACACCATTAAAACTCAAAATGAGATACAAATAAAAGTGAAAAAATTAAAAGTGATCTAAGTGATTCAAGTAGACTTGAACTAAACTTTAATGCCCTAACAAGCAGTAGTCTAACCGCCCTCACTTGTTGGAAGAAGACCAAGACAAAATCGATTAGCAATTCCCTACAACAAAGCAATTGAATGAATAAGTAATACTACAACATCCTTGTAACTAATGCTCATCTTATCATGGTAGGATGTCCGTTATGGAAACACATGGGATAGTCGCCAATACATTAACGAATCAAGCCGGGTGACTTGAAAGTTAGGTGCATGCTTCAACACATAAAGAGATTTACGGAGTTAAACATTACCAATGACCATATCAAAATGTACCTTAGGAGTTGTCATTCGATTGTCTCCTCGAAGGACAATACACCGACCGGAGACGAGCATTTGCTTCAAGATTATGTCTTAGTGCCTCAATAGCATGAGGATTCCATTCACAAGCATAAACCAATTTTCCTTTAGCCCTACTCAACATAGCCTTAAAACTCAAAATCGGATACAAATAAAAGTGAAACAATGAAAAATGAGCTTAGTAATTCGAGTAGACTTGAACTAAACTTTAAGACAAGTGCACCATTTAATGAATAACTTCTACCACTCGGATAAAGAATAAACTTAAGAGTCGTTCAAGGCCAAAACCAACCATTGAACCTTTGAAAAATTATCTTCCCATAGTTTTAATTCTCCGGACATTGAAAAGTAAAAGAACAATTGAATTTGAAACAATCATAATTTTTATCGGAGAGAGATCCTAACACAATTGAAAGTGTAAGTAGACTAAGATAAATCACACAATACCTAACAAGAAATGGCAATGTGAAATATCTTATTCCAGTAAATAAATCCACTATAACCTCATCTTTGCACTCCAGATTGCCCATACGAAGCTTCTCGGAAAGATAACCTTAGGAAATTTTTATGTCAACTCTTTATGAGCATATGATAGTAGTGACATAATTAAACACATTGGGAATAAGATGATAAATATAGCAAGAGGGAAATAAGAAAACACATGCATCATGGAAAATTTTAATCTAAGTTCAATAACAGCTAACATTTTGGACTATTACTTGAGGACCATTTGGTGGTACTTGAGGGATGAATTTGCAGTCACCAAACCATTGAAGCACCAACCATGGTATACACACCTGCAACCTTCCCCATTGGTCAATTCTTCCCTCGGATAATGGAGCTAACCCGTGTGGACAAGAATCATTAAAGACTTTCCATATAGTCTCATTTTATCCCACCACACCACAATATCAAGACCCATCACACTTTTTGCATATGGCACCCTCTTGTCCAAATCATAAATTAGCATGACTCGGATACCACTCGCATACCAGTCAAACTTCTCTCCTTGATTTTCCGGCTCAGCTGGTTCCGTGGACTCTATCGAAGCAAAGAATGGTGATGATGATATGGTTGTGAAAAGCTTGGATTTTGAAGGTGTTTTCTTGTGAAATCTAGAGAAAGATGAATTTGGTGTTGGCTTCAACTAAAAACTCGAACAACTTGAATTTGGTAAATTGGGTTTGATTCACCTTACCATCAAACAATATTAGAGGTCTACGAGTCTACACATCCAAGAACGCTTATAGTGCATCCAAAAAAACAATATTGAATCCGGCGAACATATCCGATACAAGCAAAAAAAGATGCTTCCACCTCAATTTTCAATATTATATACACTAAATGCTCAATAAACCCACATTGCGAGAGATTAAAGACAAAGAAATTCATGAAAGAAATAAATTGATACACATAGTTGAACTCAAGTAGAGAAACTCACATTGGTTTTAGCAAGAATCAAATAAAATTTAAATACCCAACAACCATATATAAACAAAAGGGTAAGAACCCAATAGAGGGCAACATCATTCATAGGCTAAAGTTAATAAAAAAAAAAAAACCCATAAGTCTAAAATCACACAAACACATAGTAGACCAAAAAGGATTAAAAACCCAATAAAGACTTGTCATTATTTATAGGTGTAATTAATTGATTGATAAAAATGAAAATAAATCGAAAACCCTATATGCTAAAATGAAAGGAACATTACTAGTAAGAGATGAGGATTGAGGTGGGCGAGAAGGGGTAGGGAGAACAACGACGGTAGATTTGTGGGGATGGGTAAATCCGGGTTTGTTTTTGGTGTTTGTGAAATTGGAGAGAATAATGGTTGGTTTTTTAAAAGAAGAAGGTAAGGAGGAAGAATTGTTAGGAACATTACCGGGAAGAGATGAAGATTGAGGTGGGCGAGAAGGGGTAGGGAGAACAACGGCGGTAGATTTATGGGGGTGGGTAGATCTAGGTTCATTTTTGGTGTTTGGGAAATTGAAGACAACAATGGGTAGTTTTTTAAAAGAAGAAGGTAAGGAGGAAGAATTCTTAGTTGATGATGTCGATGAAGTTTGTGAAAGGTCGGTGCAATCTCCCGGTGGCTTTCTGCTTCGCTTCTTTTCGAAACTTAAAATAGAAAGATGAATAAAAGAAGTGCGAGCGCCCAGACTTAAAACGTGGGGTTGGGCGGTTGATATATTTTTTATGTTATAACGCGAGTAGTTTAAAAACTATTAAATTTTGGGGCGGTTTTCTTGACCGCCCCAAACATTTTGCTCCTATGGTCTTATTTTGGTGTAGTGATAACTAAAATTAAAAATGAGGATCTACAATTAAAATTTTGAGCTTTTTCTATTTTATATATAAATTAGTCTAAAAATTAGTATATAGAAGTGGATGTAGATTAGAAAGTAGATTTACTTCTAAAAATTAATATATAAAAATTATTGCTTACCTTCTATGTAATAGACTAAATCATTAGAATGATTTGATTTAGTGATAAGTTATTACCATTTTTTGTCATCCATTGAATTATGTATATTCAATTTGAATTCATAAGGTTCACTTTTTTAAGATTAAAAAGAGTATGAGAGGGCCTCAATACGTTGTACTAGCAATTTAGTGACCCATTGTTTTTTTTTTTTCTTTTTTCCATTTTTTTCTAGAGTATTTCAGAAGTAAAAGTCTAGACTAATATCTTGATATTCAGTTGGATGTAGAAAACAAACATATGTATCCAACGATTTTTTTACATATACAAAAATTTAAAATCGAAAGTACTTGTTTAAAACATTAGAGTGATTTGTTTTTACTTCTTTTTCAATCAAACCTTTAGTGATTAAGAGGAACCATACACTCTTAACTGCTGCCATCAAGCAAACAATTTGGTAGTCGAACTTTATGAATGAAAAAAAAAAAAAAAAAAAAAAAAAAAAAAAACCAATCTGCCCGAAAACAGAATAAAAAATAAAAATAAAATAAAATTGTGCTACTTTAGAAAATTCGTGCTTCGTCGCCATGCCTATAAATTTAAGACCCTCCCTTGATTCACTAGATAACCCTCAAGTCTGCAACTCTTGATTTACTTTTTTCTGTCTGCTGTGTCAGAGTGTATTCGCTTATAAGTTGAACCTTGTTTTGATAGATCACCACCAACTATGGCTACGATCATGTTGGTGATGACAAATCTGTTTGTTATGTTCCTCTTTTGCTTCTTTAAGGTTGCATATGATACCATTTCGTGTTATTTTCTTACACCAAGACGCATCAAGAAAATCATGGAGAAGCAAGGGGTGCGTGGCCCTAAACCCCGCCCTTTTACCGGCAACATCCAAGACGTTGCCTCTTTAGTTTCTCAATCAACTTCCAAGGACATGGATCGCATCACTCATGACACTGTCAATCGTCTCTTGCCACATTATGTTGCTTGGTCTAAACAATACGGTATGCACATATATCTCTTTGTCCAGACCACAGGACTCGAAGGGGAGACTCCCTAAAACAAAAAACTTTTATGTTTGTTTGTTGGTTTGTTTGTTACAGGGAAAAGGTTTATATTTTGGAATGGGATAGAGCCACGGCTGTGCATAGCGGAGACTGAATTGATCAAAGAACTTTTAACAAAGTACAGCACTAAAGCTGGTAAATCATGGCTGCAAAGAGAAGGAACAAAACATTTTATTGGTCGTGGTTTGTTAATGGCTAACGGCAGTGATTGGTATCATCAACGCCATATTGCAGCGCCGGCATTCATGGGAGAAAGACTGAAGGTTAATATAGTTTACAAAAGGATTCATATTGTTGGTGTTTGATTCATTTTAAATGATTCAAGTGCTGATAAAAATGGTGGGTTAATTTAGATTTTTGTTTTTCTGGTTATGAAGGGCTACGCAGGGCTAATGGTGGATTGCACAAAAAATATGCTCCAATCACTGCAAAATGCAGTAGAATCAGGCCAAACCGAGGTTGAAGTTGGTGAATACATGACTAGAGTGACTGCTGATATAATTTCAAGAACCGAATTCGATAGTAGCTATGAAAAGGGGAAGCAAATATTCCATCTCTTAACAGAATTGCAAAGTCTTTGTCATCAAGCAACTAGGCACTTGTGCCTTCCCGGAAGCCGGTAAGTCTATCAAATTAGATTTTTTTTTATCTGATTCTATATCTGATAAAAAGTTGTGTATGAATTTCTTTTACGTGGTCGGTTTTTTCTTCCTTTTTCATTTGATAGATTCTTCTATCCCTTTCAAGTTAGTTCTGGTTCTTTAAAATTTACCATTGATTCCTTGTCTCCAACAAGTTGCATTGATAGATTCATGACCATGTGAAATTAAATTTTAATGTATTCCTCTGACAGGTTCTTTCCAAGTAACTACAACAGACAAATAAAATCTAAGAAGATGGAGGTGGAGAGATTACTATTGGAGATTATACAAAGCCGGAAAGATTGCGTAGAGATCGGTAGAAGTAGTTCTTATGGAAATGATTTACTGGGGATTCTTCTTAATGAGATGGAGAAAAAGAGAAGTGATGGTTTTAACATAAACCTGCAGTTGATCATGGATGAGTGCAAGACATTCTTCTTTGCTGGACATGAAACAACTGCCCTTTTACTCACATGGACAGTCATGCTTCTAGCCACCAACCCTTCTTGGCAAGAAAAGGTTCGAGCCGAGGTGAATGAAGTCTGCAATGGTGAAAGTCCTTCAATTGATCATCTTCCCAAATTCAATTTGGTAAGTAAAAATTTACTAAGTCTGTCAATATTCATCCCCTTTTTATAAAAGAAATGGTTTTCCCACGTTTGAGTAATAAATTATCTTCTATTATTTTTGAGATTTTTTTTTAGACCCTCTTTTAAAGTGTTATCAGCTTTTTTTATATTGATCGGTGGTATTATAAAATGAAGTCTAAACAAAAAATTTCAAAAGTTAGTGGTTTAAATCAAATTAAAAAAAAAATGTCTCAATCAAAAAAATTTTAAAAATACAAAATTCAAATATGAAAAAAAAAAACCTATTAAAAAAATAGAGCGCTAGGTGGTGGTAAAATCCAGGTACAGGGGAGGATAATTATATTGAAATCCATTACAATGATTCAAAATATAAATATTTTTCTGGTTTATGATTAGAAAATTCATTGAACTAGTTTCACGAAGAATTCAACAGTAAATTGACTCATGAGCTGTTTAGAGTTTAGAATCATACATGTGGAAATTGTCTTGTCTCCTGATAAGATGGTTGTCATTGCCTAACCTTTCAAAAACTTTTCAACTAAAAGTTGTACCTACCAAATCCTACTTACAGCAATATAATTAGCTATGGCTTAACTTCCTTGGATAAACTAAATAATACTAGATTTAAATATTTTTATTTTTTTTGGGCATTAAAGAAAAATAGACAAAACGCTCTCTTATATCATTGTGCTTTTAATTGATGACATTCAGTTATGTATGACAAACTATAAGGTGTTAGTTTATTAATAAATAAATGCTAACTTGCAAATTAAGTTCAGAATTCAATTTTACTAACTAGTATTTTTAAAAATTTATTTTTAAAATATTCAAAATCATGCATTGTAGTATGCTATTTAGTCATGTCAAAAAAAAAAAAAAAAAGTCTTGAATTGCACAATAACAAGTCAAGGGTCATTTTGAAAAACTTGATCTAAAAACTTGTTATTGAGAAAAAAAAAAAAAAGACACAGAATGACCATCTAATTTAACAAATTAATTAGGCCTTATAGTTCATGGTTCACCACTTCAGAGTTTGTTCTTCTCTGCTAGATTGCTTCAAGGTATAATTTAATGCGAGAAGCTAAAGAAACCCAATATTGATTACTCCATTTAACAGTCTGGCTGCCTACCTAGTGATGATTAGATTGGAATGAGAATTGGAATTGGAATTGGAATTGGAATCATCCAAAGTGAGTCAAAAGGAATTTGGTATTCTTTAGATTCAAATAGTACCCACACAGTTGGAATGGTCAACAAAGGTCCTGTAGTGGGCATGTAAAGTTCTGTATCTTCCCTTAAAGCCAAAAATCACCTACATTCCTTGCCTTTTTAATTCCCCAATTATCTGCCTCAAGATTTTTCTTCATGGTCAACTAACTTTTGTACAAACTTCTTTGAATTTTTGCAGTTAAACATGGTTATAAATGAGTCTCTAAGGCTGTATCCACCGGCGACTTTGCTCCCTCGAATGGCCTTTGAAGATATTAAGCTAGGCGATCTTGACATTCCAAAGGGGCTGCAAATATGGATTCCGGTTCTAGCAATTCACCATAGCGAAGAGCTATGGGGAAAAGATGCAAATGAGTTCAACCCTGATAGATTTGCCTCCAAGCCATTTGCTCCCGGACGGCATTTCATCCCTTTTGCGGCCGGACCGCGGAATTGTATAGGCCAATCTTTTGCTATGATGGAAGCTAAGATCATATTAGCCATGTTGATTTCCCGGTTTAGCTTCAATATTTCAGATAGTTATCGCCATGCTCCTGTTGTTGTCCTTACAATAAAACCAAAATATGGGGTTCAAGTTTATTTGAAGCCTTTGAATTCATGAAAAGGATTTTGAAAGTGAGAGTTTGGTAGGCCTAGAAACGAGTGGAGTTTGAGCTCTTATAAATATTGTTCCATTTTTAATTATATTGTAGTAAAGAGATGAGATGTCAAATTAGTGAAGTTTGTGCCTTACTAATAAATAAATAAATAAATAAAACCACAGTGAGAGATTTCGTTCAAACATCATCTTTGTTCATTTTTTATATTTTATACATACAAGTAATTGTGCTAGTTGGTCCGACAATACATATTCATCCGGAAAACGAACTGATACTAAGTAGCTAGTTTAAATAACTGGTGAAATATTCTAATTTTTCCAAATAATCTAAGATCAAATTTTTCAAACACGGGAAAGAGAAGAGGGAGAAGAGAATCTTTGTGCAATGAAGAAAAATAACAGAGAAATAGAGACAAAGAGACTATAAACATGCTTGAGAGGTCAAAAACTAGTAGTATCTAAACAATATAAAAGTAAAGAAAAATAATATAAATGCTGTGTTGATAAACCTAATCTGATGCCCATAGAAAAGGCTAAATAAAGAAACCAAGAAAAAAAAAGGGGTAGAGAGGAAAAAAGGGTTTCTTCTTTAGCTTGATGCTTATAACAGTTGTAATGATAGCTTGATTCTTCCATTCTTTTCTCTCCAATTAGATTTTGATGTAACTAAGTGCTCTAACTTTGGAAATTGATATAAAAAAATAACAAGGCCAGCTTGTATAGGGCATTTTGGCCCTAAAAGGATGCTTTGCTTGGATTTCTGATCGGCCACTACAACTCATCATATACTTACACCACTCCGACTCTGCCATTCTGCTCCTTCCACTACCCATTTTCTTCAATTATTTTTTGTTTCAACTTACTATTTATTTATTTATTTCCTTTTTTGTCACTGTCTTTTTTCACTTCACACGAAAAATTCCTATGCCGCTCGTGCAAATACATTATTATAGAATATGGATGAGTATATATAAATTTAACTTAAATTCACGACTTCAAGTTGCAATTTTTGTATTATTTTGTTATTATTTTGTTTTCAAGATAAGGTATGCTTGATAGTCTTCTTAATTAATTACTAATTTGATGTGGAAAAAAGTATATATTATCTAATGATTAGTATAATATTCGAGAAGGAATTATTAGTATACATATTAGTAATCGAAATTTTTTCTAATTCTTCAAATTGTGATAAAATCTTCGTAACTTTAGCAATAAAGGATGCCAATTTACAGAGTTTTTTTTTTTCATAATAAGGGGGATTTAAATCTTATTTCTTGTAATATGGTAGTTTTAAACTTATTTTCCATAATAAGATACTCTATGTCAAATAGGAGCCATTTTATTTTAATAGATTGACATGTCGGCTTTAATTTATATTTTATTAAAAAATTACGTTATCATCCTAAATTATTTTCTCTTTCTATTATTTTCTCTCTGTATTAACACATGGCTTATGCTTTCGGGCCTTCAATAGCTATTGCAAGAACGACCCCAGCTGCATTTTTTGCTAAAAAACACATCTCTCTCTCTCTCTCTCTCTCTCTCTCTCTCTCTCTCTCTCTCTCTCTCTCTCTCTCTCTCTCTCTCTCTGTTTCAATATCTCTTGTCTCCATTGCATTACAACCACACTATTTGTTTTATTGAATTTGCAAAAGAAAACAAAACATTCATAAGATGTGTATGAACTTGCCGGTAAGAATGAATATTTCTAATGGGTTCCGGCATTTATTTTACATATATAAATCAAACAATGAAAGCATTAAAAAAAAACACCAAAATGACGAAATAGAAGCAAGATTACCCGGAAATACATGGTAAGGGTGTCAAAGGGAGAAACAAGGACGATACACCGTCCCTTGTTCAGCTCCTTCTAGTACTTCTTGTTCTTCTTCTTCTTTAGGGATTTGAGTCTTCCTCTTCAAGTGATCTTAATCTGTTAAACCCATGGGAATAGGAATTATTGGTCTTTTCTAGTGTGAAGTGCTTGAAAGAAATGGGAAATCCACGGAAATGGTTTGTGATACGAAAGGTGAAAGGACGAGATGGAGTTCAATGGGCGTTATGGGAAAAAACTCCCAATTTACACATAAAAATTCCCTCTTTTTCATTTAAATAAACAAACAAATTGTTGAAAAGTAAACTTAATTATGGCTAAGTATGAATAGATAAGTATGAATGTAATGACTATATTCATGAACCTAGTTATGTGTGATGTGTCATTAATATAATGTTTAGTATTCTGTGTGTTATTTAGTATTCTATGTGTAATAATTATGGGATGTATAGTATCTCTATATATAGTTATAAGTGATTTGATGTTATGTAGAGTGGAGTGAGTTAAGTTTCTAATAAAAAAAAATTATATTTTATCAAGTGTTCTTGTGTCTCCTCCCTCTCTAAGTAATTTCCTTCTTGTTATCTTTGTGTGGTGTCCGAAATTTAACCCTAACAAATTGGTATCGAGCTTGGTTCGAGTTCCTATCTCTAACAAAGTGGTAATGGAGCATTGGTTGATTATTAGTAAGACTAAGAAAATGTTGAATTAGGCACAAGTGGTAAAAGTACACAATTGAAGAAGTTTTTCTCTAGATTTGTTGAAAAGAGAACTCGTTGAGTTGGTGTGAGTTAAGAGTTAGACTCCATAAGAAAAGTAAAAAGCTGGTGAAGAGTTCTTCTAAAAGCACGAGTGAGGTCAAGAAGAGAACCTTGCAAGAAGAAATGAAATGTACTCGTGCCTGTTGTTGTTTCATCACCATTCAAAATGTTTTTGAAGGAATTACTTGAAAAATTGAATTTGCCTCTGACAAGTTATTCGTGTGAAAAGTTTGGGCAAGATCATTCTCTAGAATTTATTGCTAAAGTTGAGTTTGAAGATAGATTGGGAAAACATACCCAATATGGATTCAAGGCATATACCAAGAAAGATGTTAAAAATGAAGTAGTTTTGAGTATGATAAGACATTTGAAGTGCGTCCATGACATTATCATAAAGGATGTTAATGAACGAGAATTATATGAAACAAAGTTTGATTTGAGCGAGATGCGGGATGTATATGAGGATTTGAGGCAAGATTATGATAATGTTGTCCAAGAAATGCAAGAACTAAAGAAGAAACTAGAAGAAATGGAATCCGGAGAATCGAGCACTAATGGAGTAAATTTTAGAGTTCTAAAAAGGGTTTTTGTTATTCGAGATTTTCCTCTTGGATGTGGACCAAGTAATTTTTGAAAAGTCATTACCAATAGATAATTAAGTTTACGGGGGATGTTGGAAAGTAAACTTAATTATGGCTAAGTATGAATGTAATGACTACATTCATGAACCTAATTATGTGTGATGTGTCATTAATGTAATGTTTAGTATTACGTGTGTAATAATTAAGAGATGTCTAGTATCTCTATATATAGTTATAAGTGATTTGATGTTATGTAGAGTGGAGTGAGTTAAGTTTCTAATAAACAAAATGTCTTTTATCAAGTGTTCTTGTATCTCCTCTCTCTCCAAGTAATTTCCCTCTTGTTATCTTTGTGTGGTGTCCGAAATTTATCCCCAACACAAACAAACACTTGTCTGAAGGATATATTTAATGGTTAAGGTTTGAAATTTCTTTCTTCAAGATCAGATATTTGATTCAAATTTTGAGAAGGCGAATGAGAATTTTTTTTTTTAATTTTTTTTTATTAACACATGATATGAGATTTAGAAATAGGAAATTGGATTGTTTTTATTGTGTTTTCTAAGGTCATTTTGAGTTTCTTAATTATTAAAAAAAAATTCCTTAATCAAATTAACTAGCAATTCATTATTTTTAAAAAATTAATCCGAACAAGAATTTGGATCATATGATCACTCAATGAATCACTGAACGAATCAAAAGTAAAACTACTAGCTACATGTGAAACATAAAATACGAAATAGTAAAAATGATAAGTGTAGTCATTGAATAGGTGTAGATAGACACCAATTTCCAAAACCACAAGTCGTTTTTTCTTTAAATTCCAGTACAAGATTTGACTAATCCATCTACAGATAGGAGTCTAGGTTTACATTGTAATATAGGATTCTAACTTTGCGGATTGCATGGAAATTAAAGATCATCATGTGAAATAAAAAAGAAGAGAAGAAAATAGTAATCATTTTCATAAAAGGCAGCCCGTTAGTTTGAAAATGTTAAAAGGAAAATGGAAGAAAAGCAAATGCAGAACACATGATCCAGCTAGCCGAAAGGAGGAAGACCCCTTTTTTTCCTCGCAAGCACGTTGCCTCATGCATGGCTAGTTGAGTCTCTAATTTTGAGTCGCTCTCATTAGTTTTGGTTGTCTACCTTGATCCTAATTTTGGAGGATCTAAAATGAAAACGGATCGATAGTTTGGTGGTACTATTTACTATTTGGTAATTAGGGCTATTTTTAAAATGTTTATTTTCAAACTTTTATTGGAAAAAAAAAAAAAAAAAAAAAAGAGATGCAGCAGGGCTGATCATGCAGGCAAAATATTATTTCTGGTCCCTCTACTTTTAACATTTAATCAGATGAGTAAATAAAAGGTGACGTGTCATGTATTATGTATATACCAATTAGATTGAAAATAAATAATAATAATAATAATAATAAAGAATAATTTGAAAATCTATTAGAAACTAAATTTGATATTGTTTATACTAGAAAAACAAGAAACATAAATTAATTAGAAAATTGAAAATAATTTTATTTAATGATAAAAAATAAAAATAACTTAATGTTTAATTTAATATTATTAATGAAAATTAAAATATATATATATATATATGTTTTATTTTTCATTTATGTTTAATTTTATTCTATTTAATTTTTTAGTTTACACTTAATTACTTTTGATTACAAAAAATTAACATATATAGTTCTAATTGATTTTCAAACTATTTTATGTGTGTTATTATTATTATTACTTTTTTATCATAATTGTATTTGTCGAACCATCTATCACCCTTTATTTGAGTCAACTAATGGTTTTGATCATATAT